CATCTAAGACAATTAAATTAAATTAATTCAGTGGTACTGGTACATGCTATTATCATATGAATATAATACATACTATCATAGTATGGTATTATATTGTTGTTTTTCTTTCGTTGAAAAAAATGTAAATGTTTCTTAAAATGGAATATTTTAGAATCTGAATAGATTGATGAATGTATTTGTTTTACAATGCTGTGTTATTATTTTATTATTTGTCTGTCATCGCCTTTCGGAGCAGTAAAAATACTTTGATTTTCAACTTATGACTGGTTTCTGATAGAGAATTGGAACTAGTTAGTATATTTTGTGACGGGAGGTGGGTCAAAAGTAAAAAAAATATTTTACAATTTTCAAAAATATTATAATAAAATATTTAAAAAAAAAAGATCTTTGTTTCTATAGAATAATAATATGAAATAGCAATAAATGTTACAAATTATAATTATATTTTACAAAATATCACTGACAGATTTAATGATCTACCTATAAACGTGTAAGTCTATGTAGTAGGTACTTACCAATTTTTCATTTATACTGCACGACGGTATAGCGTGTCTATGATTTTTACACTGTGGGGAGGGGTATAAAAATATTAATAGTCAATAGACATATTCATACGTCCCCTGCTGCATCCATAATCGTATGGAGTTAAGTAGTTTAAAATATAATATTACCATTGTATTTATTATAGTTGTATAATATATTAATTTATTTAGTTGAATTTAAATAAAAAGTATTTCTTTTTACTATATACATATAGGTATACAAAATGTAACAAAATTAACTGACTAATGTACTAACTTTTGTTCTAATCAATATTAATAAAAAATTATTATTAACCTAGAGAATAATAATAAAATTGAAATATATTGATCAAAAGTAATTATTACAAAATTATAGTTGGTTAATTACATTTTTCAGATATTTCTTTTACATTATGTATAATAGGTATGTATAGATCGGTTATGTATGTATGTAGATCGGAATTTATATTATAAAAATAAAACAATATAATAACTGTTTCAAAGAGTTTAACAAATAATAGGTATGATAGTTATTCATAACTAAGATTTCATAAGCCCGTTTAAAAATTATTATTCATTAAAATCTAAAATGTCAATTATCACCACTCATGTCTCAAGCAGTTATTTGAATTTGTTTGTAATTTTTTATTTATTCATTTTACTTTTTATTTTTTAGTTTTAATTTTAATTATTCAAATAGAAATTTCCAAATTGGTTTTAAATCAGAATCCTTTAAAATTGTATCATAATAATGGTTTAATTTTAGGAACTGGATGGGTCATATAGGTAAAGTAGGAACCTTATATTACTTGGACGAAACGTAATATGTCATATTGTCACACACGACATGCATTACATTATTCCCATGCAAAAAATTTGTATCGCTGTTAATGTTTATAGAATATGTACGAGTTTAATATAGTGCGCATTAGATATGTGAAATAGGTAGGTATGCAAATGTGATGGACAGTGTCGTATTTCAAAGAGTGTTGTAAAAATATAATTCAATTTTATAGCTAACATTGTAAATTTTAGTTCAAATAAAAAACAACGGAATAAACTAGGTATTATAATTACATTTTTAAAAAACTAAAAGCTTCAATCTCAACAGCTAAAAATTTAAAACTTAACAAGTTAGAAAAGCTTGCTCTGAGAGAGTGCTCAATTCCCGGTTTCTAAAAGTATAATGCAACGTTTAAACCAACCCAATAAATTATAATTCTATTTTACAATTTCTGTACAGTAAATATAACTACAGACAATAAATTAATCGTATCAACAATCGTAATTATGTACTGGTAACTAATGGACGGATGGACTGACGGACACAGAGGGGAAATAAGATGTTATAACATATGTTTAGCAACATAAAGACTCAAATTGTGTAGAGGTGCCCATTAAGCGCTATAGAGCGGGGAGGATACTACTGGCGTCTCCAAAAAGGAAATAGAGTAGACTAAATGCGTTTAGCATATTATTTTTTTTTTTTTGTATACTATTGTTTTGTGCAATAAAAATAATTATTCAAAAGACAATGTCTTTAAAAATAATAAGTCAAATATTAAAAATAAAGAAAGAAAATATTAATTGTAATATTTGGTTGACATTTTTACTATATAAACTGTAAATTTTTCAATATTGTTTATTACATAAGAAATATTATTATGATTAAAAATAATTACTTTAATTTGTTAACCTAATAAGTTTGTTTAAGTAGTTAGGTACCTACATAATGATGTTATTTATCTTAATTGAAACGGTTATACTCTTTCGACTATTTGATTATCTATTAATATAACAATGGATTAAAAGCTTTGAATCAAAACTTAACTTACGTTCAAAATCAAAAATAACTTGTGGAAAAAATGTAGGTACCTGTACAAAATGTGTTACATACCACTTATCTAGGATGACGCAATACCAGTTACAAGCTTTTAGCTCAGTTGGTATATGTATCAACTATTAATGTAATTGTAATTATTTAGTTGTGATTCATTTTGCTGAAATAAAAAAAAAAAAAATAGTATGTATTCGGACAGTCGGGCTCTAATGCTGAGCACATTGGATGGCGGTTACGATATTATTCGATTAAAAACAACACAATCATTTCCGCGGAAATTTCTACTCTCCCTGGAAAATGTCTTCGCTAATTTTGGAGGTCCTGGTGTATAGATATCATTGGGGTTTACAACAAGGAGGTAATAAATTAACGACGATTGTACGACTTATGGAGTATGGCGCGTGTATCGACAAAACCCATTTTTGGTGAATATAATATTGTACAATTATTATTGTTTAATTATTTATATACATATATTTTATCCGATTGACCTTTGATTTACGAAAAAGAAACTTTAACGTTAAATGTTTTACAAACACACTTAAGTACATCGTTAAAGATATATAGACGATGGTGGCGTATATTGTATAATATTAAGTAATAACAGTAACTAATATTATATCATAGTAGATTGGCGAAGCACGCATACCTATATATAAGAACCGTGGGTCGAGGGATCACTTTCGGGGGCAGTCGGGCGCACTGCAGGCCGCGGGTGCCGGGACGGGGTCGATTTTTCGTACTATTGCGTATACAAAGTCGCAGTATTCTTTTACTCTCGAACCGCGTTACAGCACAAAAAAAAAAAACACTCTCACCCCTCCGACAAACCGCGCGACGAGAGGAAAACAACTTTGACAAAACTCAGCAGCGATATAGAACACACACTCCCCGCCTTATAAATGCATATACATAGTAATAATAATTTTACGCGTTCCACGCACACACACGCGCGCGTCCTATGTATATAATAAGAACGTACTTATAGGTCGTCGACGCCGAGTGGACGTTTTTCAAAACCAGACGGCGGCGGCCTCGGGTTTTCCACGGTTCCCATACACCTACCTAACTTATGCCATTAGGCAGAGACAGTGCTCGAAAACAACACTGTACAGATTAACCAGCACGGTGATGCGGTGGTGGTGTATGTTTATTCGCCGTCTCAGGCCACACACATACACACACACACACACACACACACACACACACTACCCACAAATATACTTTTATCCTGCCGCCCACAGATTTATCGACACGCCGCGACGCCCCCGCCGCACCCACATCCACCCTATCGAGCCCGCTCTTCCGCCAAGACCACACGACCATACTACCGTACACCGCCACCGCGCGGACCACGGCCCAAAGATACGCGGGTGGTTAGCCGGCCGGGACGAGAGGGGATGATACCACCAACGCCACCTCGGCGAGGGATGACGCGACGCTACGCAAGCGAGGGGAAGGCGCGGCGGCACCCCGATTTTTTTCAGTTCCGCCGCCCGCACGCGGTAGAACGCGGGATGGCGAGCGCGCCCGCCCCTTTATCGAATTACCATTGCCGCCGCCGGGATGGGGTCGTGAGTGCGTAAGCGCACACATACGCGCCCGTCGACACACACCGGCACAAGGCGCGACACGCACGCGCACTTCGGCCGCAGTCTGCGACGGCGACGGCTGCCGCTCTCAGGCCTCAGCTGTACGGTTGCTACACCACACGGCGCGCCGCGCGTACCTACACACACTCGCACACAAACCCGCGTACACACACACATTCACGTATCGTCGCTCGTGGAGTGTCGTCGTCGTCGTCGTCGTCGTCGCCGCCGCATCGTGTTGTCCTGCCGCCGGCTCTCGTCCAACCGTCCGTCGGCGCGTTGGTTGGTTTACAAGTCGTACACAGAGGTACGTTGCGGCAGTCTCGTATCCGTCATATCCGTCCGCGGTCGTGTTTTTTTTTTTCGTCTTACCACTTACGAGAGGGCCACCCATCGCTGTTTTCAATAATTGACGACAACGACAATATCGTGAACAGTAAATATTATTATCATCATCATATATAATTATATTTTTTTTTTCGTCATCGCTATGAGGTTTATGCGTATTGTTGTTATTACTGTAAAAATTATAACTCGTGAACACTCCTAACTCCGACTTACCCCTTATAATTGTGTCCCTCCGATGACCGACAACACACTCGGAGACATCCGCCGGCGTCCGAGATGTGTTTCGTGTGGATGCGAAATTCGAGATTCGTCGTTAGAATTCTATCGCCGACGACGACGAGTGTCTGTAATGGGTATAACTTTCCCGTATCGAAAGCTCAGGAGGGCGTGAGGTCTCACACGCTCCACGTGCACGTGACGCATATAATAATATTATCACCATTGAAATAACTAAAAGGATTGTCTCTCTCGCTTCTCTTTCTCTATTTTATTATCTCATAACACTAGAGAAACGTACCCCCTACACGTCTCTCATTCACTATTATTATCGTCTTTAATCCGCAGATTTTCGTATTATTTGTTGTTTCGGAGTCATATTATTATAATATAACAATATGATATAACGAGATAATATATAACTATGCTAATATTTAAATTCGTTTTCTTTTCTTTTCCAGTTGTGCTACGAAGAATATCAAAATGGCCAGCACGTCCAGCCCGATATCGGACTTTTTCCGCGGTCGTCACGTACTCATCACCGGTGGCACAGGGTTCATGGGCAAGGTGTTGGTGGAGAAATTGCTGCACTCGTGTCCGAACATCGCATGTATATACCTATTAATCAGGCCCAAACAAGGCCACGACGTCAAATCTAGGCTGGATCAACTACTGAACGCTGCGGTAAAATAAAATGATAACATTATCAATATTAGTAGCAATAATATGCATAAAAATGTATCGTAATATTTTTTTATTATATAATATTACGTTTCATTGACCATCTATTTCGGATTATGTCGCGCTCGATGAGCAAACAATTTTCTTCTTTGCACCGTTAATATTTTATATAATTGCAATACAGCATGCCGCATGCATACCTATAATTTTTTTTTAAATAACCAAAAGCATCTAATAAATCTTTCACGTTTTAGTTAAATTGATCGGGGGAATAGTTAAAATAATAAACTACAATCTATGTATAGATATATTTATATTTTATATTATAGCTTGTTCAAAACGCGTGCTAAATTTGAAAATAACACGTCAGTGTTTGGCAGCACTCGTTGATATTTTTATTCCAATACAGGTCTTGGTTCATATATATTTAAAAAGCTCTTTTCTTGATTTATGTTTACCTAGTTTCCATGTATAATATATTTTATCCTGTGTTCTGTCTTATTCACTATATAATATTGTAGTTTTAAATGTATTACTTTGAAATCGTTTTACATTATTTTATTTCGTATTTTCCGATTATTAAATAATAATAATAATAATAATAGTAATAATAATAATAATAAATAATACACATAGGCAGTAAGAATAAACAACTATAATATCTATTGAAAGGTAAAATTCGTAGCTACACAATATTTTGTAGATTCACTGGAAATAAACTAGAAAGTCATTCTGGGAACCAACTCGTAGGTACCTATTATACATCCCCGATTTCCTTCTATTATGCCACTATATCTATAAGATATTCTAGATTAATTAAAATCTTAAACAATTGATTTTGTAGAATACAGTTTACGAATTATGCCTCATTTTCAATGAGTGTAATAAAATGTAAATTTGTTGATGCAAATACTTAATAGACATAAATTGACAATGTTTGATGTACCCATATAATGATACATTTATTTTTTTTTAAATATTGAAAGATAGGTACTCAATTCCTTATAACCCTTATATATATAGGTAGGTACTCGTCGTAATGCTTGTAATTTCCGTTTTTGTTGTTTTAATCTTTCGTTTTTTTTTCTTTTAATTATTTTAGATATTTGATTGGGTGAGGAAAAATCAACCCGAGTCTCTAAAAAAATTAGTGCCGATTAATGGTGATGTCACTAAATTCGAACTTGGCATCAGCCCTTTGGATCAAAAAACGTTAATTGATAACGTATCTATTGTGTTCCACTCAGCAGCCACCGTTAAGTTCGACGAGGCACTTAAACTTTCCGTTGCCATGAATTTGTTAGGTACTAAACGATTGGTTCAGCTGAGCAAACGTATGACCAAGTTAGAGGTAAGTGTTACACTGATACATAGTATATAATTATCGTAAAAACTAGTTAAGTAAACGTTAAGTAAACGTTAAGTTAATTATTATTGAGTTTTTGTTTGTATTTAGCGTATTGGTTTAAATCAAAAATATAACAATTCATTGCTCTAATTAACGAAAAGTCTAAATTACGTAATAAAATTGTTTTAAACCTCACTTTAAAAAAATCGATAATAATAATAAATCACTATTTGTAAAATGCTTGACTATTTTGATTTAATCTGAAACAAAATACAAATTATCACTTTAATGGTAGGTATTTCAAAATAGTTTGTGAAAACTACAAATAAAAGTTGAATAAGATCGGTTTACCCAAGTAATTTCTAAGGTTTCGGATGTGAAGAGAAATATTTTTAATCTTTAAAATTATTTCAATGAAAAACGATGTTCATATTTCAGTTATTAATGGATTATTCACTTTTATTCAAAATACTTTTTAAGATACCTAGACTAAACTTGGTATTAAATTGTTAGGTATTTGGAAGTAAATATTTTCGCATTTTAAAAAGGATTTTGCGTGGAGTTGTTTCAGTAGTTATTTCAATTTTATAGAAAACAAAATACTAACTTGGAAACTATTTTACTTTTTATTAATTATAAAACGTATACAGTTCAGTAAGTACACATATAAATATTTAATTAAAATTTAAGAACTTTACTTTAGTTAGAACGCGTTATGATAAATATAAGTTGAATATACTAATGAATTAATAACAATATTAACTTTGAAATTAAAATGCAATTGAATGATATGACTCACAGCAGTTTTGGAAATCATAAACTATATTTTATTACAAATTTCCTGAAAATCATTTTATTTTTATATAATAATTTAATTATGATTAACTAGGTGGGTATATGCATAAAAATTTTTGTAGAAAATTGCATAATTTAATTTCTAGATTATAATATTACGTTTATAGACATGGAAAAAAAATTAGAATACCTAAGTGTATTTTAAATTTTAACTTGGAGCAACACCTAGTTTTATACTAGATAAACGAGGCGCATAGTCCAAGGATAGTTTAGCACACACAAATAAAATAAAATTGTATTACATTAAACATTTTGGAATACCTAGTATAATATTTTATTGTCAAAATAAATGGTCCAAACCTAAAAAAAAGTCTGATAAATGTGTAAAACTAATTTTTTTGCACTGATATTTAAATAATTTATTTCATAACCAGAAATTTCCCAACTCTATGATTATGCCATTTCCCTGGGGATTTATCGATTCTGCCGGTTACTGTTCATATACTAGTGAATTAATACTTTATGTACCTATAACATATTATGTAGACTCGACATCAATTGATTCTGCCGACTACTGCTCATACACTTAGGAATCGATATCACCTAGTGATAAATTAATAAAAATTTTAGAAACCAGCTAAAAGATTTAGACGGCATATTTTATATACTAGTATATTACTGAACTTATTATCAAAACAATTAATTTATGACACATGGCAATGTCATTATATTAGATGTATAATAACTATTTTATATAATTTATTTTAAAAAAAAAATATCGGTAGGTTTAATTCAAAATAATGATTTACATGATATTGGTTGGTAGGTAGGTAATACAATAAACAAACTACCAAAACTTTTATAGTTTATAATTTTAAATATTTACATATTGCTGGGGCTCTGTCCATTGCTAGTTACCCTCGTAAACCTCCAATATCGTTGTCTCATGTTTTTTCATATTATTTTTTCATACTCAATTTATGTAGTAGATTTTTTTCTTTGTCAAACAACTTCTCTGACCCTTTTTTTCTACCCATCATATTAAAGTCTGTACGACTATATGATCTATACATACAAGTATGGAAAAGAAAAATTAAAGTTATTATAGCCATTATATTAATGACAACTTAATTTTTATTATGAAAAAAATAAGTAGGTACAGATTCATCAACATTGCATGATTAAATACAATATAATTATTAATTATTATCATCATTGTTTATAATATGTTGAAGATGTAAATATACAAAAAAAAATTGTATATAATAGGGAGATATAAAATGTAAAGCTATTGGCGGAATCAATAATGGCCGGAGTCCATAGGTAGATATTATGAACAATAGACGACGAAATCAATAGCCGCCGGAGTCGATACAAAATCTACCATTTTGGCCACTATGCATTAACTGATAATAATCTACTAAATTATTATTGGCTTTATTTTAAAATAATGGATTTTCGGGATAAGATATTCCAGCGCTATACAGCTCAAATATTGTAAAAAAACCTATAATAAAGTAACACAATTAATTTCCTATGAAAAAATTGAATAATTAGACGAAAGGAAACTATATTCAGTACCTATGGTTGTTATTATTTTATATTTTCACATATTTTCTTAGGTAATTATCTTATCTACACTTGTGGAAGAAAAGTTAAAATGTTTTTATTTATTCAGTGTAAATGAAGTAAGTATGTAGCTACTTTGAGGAAAATTCAATGATAAAATATTTTGTTAGATATAATATTGACATAGGTCAACATTCTTTGGACAGAGAATTAATTTTCAGATTAACACATATCCAGAGAAGGTGGAATTTAAAATCAACACATTTATAACACATAAATTTAGTGATTAGGTATATAAAATCTATATAAAGGCAAAAAGGCTATGTATACAAATCCTAATTAGTTAATGGACGTATAATGTATACGGTCTTTAAATGGTTATGGCAGTTGTAGGGTATGTATATGATTCATTACAAAGAAGTCGGAAGCGTTTGAATTGACATTTCTTTAATAAACTTTAGATTGTGTTTGTAGGAAATATATTTTTAGACATTAAAACTTTTAGTACCTGATTGAAATTACTTGTGTGTTGTTAATAAACAATAGTTCGTTGAAATACAAAGAAAAAAGGGGTAAAGTATATAGCGGTAATCGCTTTGCTGCACTGTAGGTGGTGTCGAGTGTACCACGCCATTGAAGAGTACCTACCTAAGTCATTGTAATATAATATGTGTTAAATTTGAATTCAATGATAAATTATTGCATACGAAAAAAAATTCTGAGGGAAGACTATAATCTGTGTCAGCCTATATAATACGAAATGTATTTTATGATATATTAGTACCTAACATGGCATAGGTTGAATTCATTTTTTCCAAAAATATTTCATTTTAAAATATGATTGTGTGTATAAAATATAATAATAATATAGGTTAAAAATGAAAATTACCCATGGATAAAAGTTTTAAATTACAACAAAGTACCTGACTAAATTCGTCAGACTTTGTTCAAATAATATCTAATTTCATCCGAATTTTAACATTACTAAAATTAAAATAAATTTGTCTATACTAAAATTAATACATTTTGTATATTTATGTAATATATTATATTATATTCTATTAATGTATTTTTTTTATACAATATTGACTACCTACTTATGAGAAACGTTGTTTTAAATTTTCAATCTTGAGCTAGAAAAATTAAACATTTAATAAATATTTAAGTACAGAATAATTTGAAAATGTCCGCGATTTTGACGAGTTTTCAATTTTAGATTCTGAGCGTAGCGATGAATGTATTGATTTTACAATGATGTTTTTTGTATTTTTGTGTCTGTCATCAGTAATCACCGTTTCGTTTGGGGCAGAAAAACTGCTTCCATTTTCTTCGACGGTATCTTGTTAGATGGGAAAGTGAATCTAGTTGGTGCATTCGGGAGGGCAAAATTTAAAATCCCCAATAGTTTCAAAGCACCGTATAAAACCACATACTAATTAAGGAAAAACGGGAATTTTTATGCAAAATCGATTTTGGTTTTTAGAGTAACTCTTAAAATAATTACCATATCATATATATTATTATATACATGACATTTTCACTGGTTGTTTATATTAGCTTTTTCTATACACGATAACATTATCAAAATATTTTGATTTCTCTTGAACTGTTTACTGACATTTTCAGTTTCCAATTTTTTTATTTTTTATTTTCTATGAATGTCAGTAAAATTTGTTGGGTAAACAAGCTTGAAAATTAGGCTCCTAATATATTGTTACAATGACATTTGGAAAATATAAAAATCCATTAATTATATATTAAATAAAATAATTCATATATTTCAAATGTCAATAAAAATTTTAATACTTAAAGCTTGAGAGTATAATAAAAGCTGGTAAGTTCTTTTTACTGGAATTTAAAGTTTAGTTTAAAGCTACTATATGTACATATTGTATGAGTGTTTGGAATTCCATTTTTGATGACATTGGGTATTTAAACGCAGGTATATTTGCTCTATATTCACATCCATTATAATTGACATAGTCAGACATGTCGGTTAACGATTGTCATAATAAAAGCCATTAACCCTAGACGGCTTGACGAAAAGTCTATAATTCTTATTATCGTTTGTATTTTCAATAAAAATTAATTTAGGTTATTAATTGCTGGAGGCCTTCTTTTTCCAATATAATTACAAAATGTTTTACTTCAAAATAGTTAATACATTTTCATGAGTATGACGAATTTTGTCATAATTTGAACTTTAAATGCATATAAAAACGCTTTTATGTATTTTTCACTGCTATTACAACAACATATGTTAGATTTTGGGTTACATTTTCAAGCTATTTTATAAAAAAATTTTGATTGACAATAATTTCATAAGCTCACAAAAAAATTTTCGACTTTCTAGTAAACTTTTTTTTTGTTAGCGGTAGACAACCTATGAGTAATCTTGCACATAATTTTAAATATTTGATGTAAGCAGATAAGTTTGAGTGAGCTTCTACTTACAATATAATTTGAAAATGTTCGAGTTGTTGATGAATTTTGTCGACATTTTAACTTTAAACGCTTATTAAGAAATGTTGTGACTATGTATTTTTGATATTTTTTAAATGGTATATGGTAACTTATGATGGCCCTTTTATTACCTTTATCAAAACTTTTGACGGATCGAACATTTTTAATTGATATATTTTAAAGAAAAAAAAAAGCGGAAGTGGGTAACTAGGTGTCTAGAAAAGTCACAGTAATAGAAGTGTTAAATTTGAAATCAATGATATAAAAACATTTTATACGAAAAACGATTCTGAACGAAGACAGTCTGTCATCCTATAATATTAATATGTATATTTTATTTTATCATTGTGATTCAAGTAATTTAATTTAATATTAGAGTAAGTACCTACTTTAAAGTACCTTGAATCAGTTTTTGCTGAAAAAATTGCATTTTAAAACTTCTTTGTACATATAAAATATAATAATATAATTTAAAAGTTGCATTTGCCCACAAATATAGATTTTGTTCAAATTTTAACTTAAAATGTCTATAAAAAGAACCATGTTTATAATATACTTTTTATTTTTGGTTACTATATAAACTATTTATGAGAATCCTTGTTATACATTTTCAGCCCTTTTTTAGTTATAAAAATAAATTGAACATTTTATAAATTTTAAACTAATTTTAAACTTGTTGATAAAATAAACATTTGGTGAAAATATCATGTCATATAGATAATAATTTTTGAATTACAACAGAATAAGAAAATCGTTTTATGAGAATTTGTTCATTTACGAATGTCCAATATCCAATATCCAATAACTTCAAAAGCTCATAAAAAATTATTTACGGTAGACTTTTTAACTGAAGATAGGAAAAATTATGGGGAATATTGAATAACATTTTAAAATCTTAAATATAAATAGAACATTTTTTTATGAAATTCTAACTCAAAATAATTTGAAAATGTTCCCAATTTCGTTAAAATTCTTACTTCAGACCCTCATAAAGAATATTGTTGATTTACACTCAACTTTTTTTCAATTTCCTCTAACAACCACTTATTAAGAATATTATATTAATTTTTCAAGATTTTTTTTTCAAAAGTTATTGAAAGAAAACTAATACAAATCGAAATTTTTTTATGCCTATAAATAGCTCAATGTAATGTATGTGTATTGTTTTTCCAGACGCTTTTTAAAACTATTTAAAACTTATTTATATTATATATTATTTATATATTTAAATTTAATAGTATAAAATACCAACCTACTAAAAAAGATGCTGAAATAGAAAACCGAAGCATTTTAGTTCCCCAAAATGTGATAACAGATACAAAAATAAATATAATAAAATAAAATACACATTATTATTATATTAATATTGTAAAATCAAAATATTCACCGTTTCGCTCAGAATCCATAAACTGAATTTTTGTACATATCTATATAAAATATTTTGTAACTAATTTTATGCTATTCATAGATAGGTATTTAAAATTTTCGAAATGTTTTCATTAATGTCGTCAAGAAATATTAAGCTTAAAATACAAGTACTTACAATATATTTTTATGTTTAAAAAATATTTGAATATCGGTCTATTCGGAATATTCGGGATATCAGAATTTGAAAACTTGAATTTATTATCTTTCATACATATTATTCACCATTAAGTTTATCTATATTATTTTACCACGTATAGGTACAGTTAAAACACAATTTTACATTGTCTTAAAAAATTAAAATTAATTATTTATAATTATATATATTTTTTAAACTATATTTAATAACACATCGATTCGGAATACATAAATTTAAAGTCTATGCATATGTCCAAAAATTCAAAATTTAATTTAAAATACACGTATTATTAGTTATTACCTATATACTGGTTATGTAATATATTTAGGCAATATATAAATATATTATGTATCAAATAATATTGTTATTTTTCTGTTAACTAATTTATAACAAGTTAACAAGACTGTAAATGAGAAATTCAAATTTAAAAAAAACCGAACGTAAAAGTGCTGTTTAAACAAGTTTACTTACTACACAAGTCATAACTAAACTTAATCGTACGTAGGTGGGTACCAATACATTATACTTAATAAGAGGGATAATCATAATTTGTTCGTTATGTAACATAGGTGTTAGATATACTTACTATTTGTATAAATAATATTCTACACTGTGATTAAAGCAAAATTAAAAAGGGAGAAGAATTGCCCCGGGCACAAGTTTCAACATTTTTAAAACTTACATTTTTAAGCATTGAGAGAGACAACTTCTATACGAAACAAGTTTAATCAGTCTGTAAAATAATATCCATTCACGATATAATTTTTTCAATATTTTATATTAATACCAGATAATATGAAAAAGAATTGCAATATTTTGATTCTATAATACCATAATGAATTATGATTGAAAATATTTTGATAAAAAAAACATTAACTTTTATTCGAGAATTTTCTGGTTAATATCATGAAACTATATATGTTTGTGTATGTATATATTTTTTATAATCTATTAAATATATAATGAACTATTGTTTCATACAGTGAGTGTGCCATATAATGAAGAAAAAAGTCAAGTTTCTCAGAATGATGAATCTTTCCACTGGAAGGGCTCTGCTTTTCTAAAAATATTAATTTTTCATTAATTTTTTTTCCATATTCAGACATACAAGTAATATAAAATTGATTTAATTTCATACATGTATATAATATATATTTTGCTTATAATAAATGGATGAAACAGATACATTATCTAAACGATAGGCAGAGAACGAGAGAACGTATAATATTTCTGAGCCGATAAGTTCTTTATCCATATTCTTGAGTTTAGTAAGTAAAGTCGAAAAATAAAAAATGATATAAACTGACGGTATGTTAATAATTGATAATAGGGTAGGTAGCAGAAAATTACCGGAGGGATTTAGAGAGACAAATTGTTAGGTATTAATTTATGTAGGTTATGCCGCAACGGTTGATAATAATTTTTGTTTTTGTATACAAAATGTTTTCATGTGACACTGTTACTGATATTAAAACACCCAAAGTATGCATATATGATTATATTTAAGTAAGTATTCTAATTTCATAAAATATGTTAACATTTATTTTTATTTTGTTTTATGGGAGACATTTAAAGAAAGCTAGATAGTTATAGGATATAAATAAAATACCTTACATAATACAGTTGAGTACGACATAGTTTTTTTTAATTGTAGGTTACATAATGAATACCTATTATAAATAGTATTAAATATTATTATATTATAAGATATTGAAGTTAATAACTGAAATTTTTGCACCTGCAGTATGGATGTATCTAAATTGTAACATTTAAATAATAAGATATAATATTATATAAAACGGATTTAATAATCCATTCCATTTATACAGGAAATTACAATATTGTCATGTAGGTACGGATTATTTTAACATTTTTAACCCAAATATTCTTTCTAAATTTAATTATAAAATAACTGCGATAAACTCGTCAGGTGAAATATTTCATATTTAGCTTATAGATAAAGAAAACCTATTATTTGTGCCTGTTTGAGTCATGTTGTGAACGTGTAAGTGAACCCCATAGTTCACGAATATTGAACTTGCCTATAATACTTATCGCACAATATATTATGAAGGCATAAAATGGTCAATATGGATTTTATTTATTTTACTATGTGCTTAAAAGAGCTATTATTTACCAATTTTGTAAATTTTAAACATCACCTGTCCAAATGGATCGGTCAAAAAGTTACACACTGCATATGAACTGGGAAATATTACACTTTTAGGGCGTAACGCTGTCAATATATATTATACTTAAATCGCACTATAGTAGGTACATACCTATTATAATACATTTATTTTATATTATGTTATATCAATACGAGTATTTAAATTATTGTGTTTGTTTTGTAAACTTTTCAAACTGTATGTATTATTGTATTAATTTAAATATATTTCACAAATTTGTTAAATCAAACAAGGTGATCCGTTTAAGAATTTGTACTCATTATTGTGGAAACTTATAACTCATTTCCAATGACATGAAATTCTTAAAAAAATCAAACTTTTCAAAATAATTGGTGTAAGCATTTCACTATCGTATTATTAATACGAAAAATAAAAAGTTTTTAATTTTAATTTTTAATTTACGCAGGTACTTAATTACATTTTATAACATTAAAAATTTAAATAATTATAAATGATTCATGAAAAAATACTTAAAAACATCGAAACCATTTAAAAGCACACTAATTAGATACCTACACATATAAGTACATAGTACATTTTATTTTATAAAATAATAAGAAAAATAAGCTTTTTAATTTTTAATTTACATAAGCAGGTAATATTACATTAATAACATTAAACATATTTTATAATTCATTAAAAAATACTTAAAAACACCGAAACCATTTAAAATTACACTTAGATACGAATATTATATTATGTACATTTCATGTTCAAACTTTTAGTTTTTAGATTTAAATAAATTACTTACCTATGATTTACTTTTTATAAGCAAGACACTAATATTGTATTATATGTACATACTAAATGTTTTAGGCCTTTGTACACGTTTCCACTGCGTATTGTAATTGCAACCGACAAGATGTTGAAGAACATTTATATCCCATTCCTGCAGACCCAGAACAAATTATTCAATGTGTTGATTGTCTTGATGAAAATCTTCTGGAATCTATAACACCAAAGTAAGTTTATTATTATATAGTTTAATACGTATTATGATTCTTTTGAATCGAGAATTGTATAAAAAATCTGTAGTGACGTGTTGTCGATATTAAAAAAAAAAGGAGTACATACCTATATTATTTTGACATTATGTAATTTTCTCCGCAATTCATTTTCGGGTAGTAAAATATGTTAAGTGATAATGAATGATACGTATGATCACATTTGTGGACTCTATAAGTTTAGCGACTGACTATTGATAATCCTAGCCAAAATCACACCGAAATTACTACTGAAGTCAATAATATATATTATAATATATCTAATAATACACAATTTATCGATAAGTAACATTTTACGCTGAGACCAGACAGTTACTGTTGTGTACCAATTGAGTGGCTGTGTATACATAAGACGTGAACTGTGCCTTGTTTATTTAATTAATATTTTCTTGTAGTTATAATATTATTAATTCATAATTCCTAATGGACAAAATACAAATTATCAAGACATCATGTGGTGGTAAAACGTTTTTTTATTTAAATTATGAAACGTACACGAAAAAACAATGGAGTGAGATCGGTTTGTGTTAAATTCTTGATTTAAAATAATCTTGAGGATTAATAACGAATACAATTATAAAAATGAAGGATAATAATAGTAAACAATATATGTACCTATGAAGATTACAAATAAAGATATCTAGGTAATACATTAATAATTATTTGTCATAATATTTTAAATATTTGCAGTTATTTATTCTATAATCACTGATAAATTTCCAATTCCAGGACAAAATAGTTTGGATAAAAATTGTCTTTAATTTTTATTAATATCCCAAACCAAAACTGTCTTGGACTATTTTAAAACATTATAATTTATATTAACAGTTGTAATTTAATGTACACGATCTGAATACTTTTAAGTATATATTTAAGTATATTTATGAGTCCAAGATATTTTTGGATGTATAACAATTATGAAATAGGTATTTTATAAATGTAAACGGCATCGTCAGACGTCTATAATATCATGAATTATGATGGAAAGGGTAATATCTTGAGTAAATACACGAGTAGTTCAAAATATATTCAGAAAAGTAAATTATTTTAATAGTATAATCGTTGCATTCTAAAGAGTAAAGAATGTTGAAGAATCGTTTAAATTACTTAGATACAATAAGAATGTATATTAAATAAAATTAATAAATACCTTTGTAAATAACTGCCCGAATAAATTTAACAAAACTTGTCTGGTATCTTATAGATATCTACTTGGAAGTCTATAGATTATCTATTTATACTGATAAAAGGCAATGTGTGTGATGGGTGGTGTGTGGTGTGTGTGTGTGTGTGTGTGTGTGTGTGTGTGTGTGTGTGTGTGTGTGTGTGTGTGTGTGTGCGCCAAGTATATCGCTGCCATGATTGTTCTGAAATTTGGTACAAACCTAATTAACATAATATTTAATTCCAAACCTGGGGATGTTCACCTCGAATCCAATTTTTTTTAATTTAGAGTTTTAAAGCGGAGCTCACACATTGATTTGTTGGATCACAAAAAAAGAAAATTATTTTATTGATGTACGGTTGGCATTGGTTATAGAAAATAAAAAAGCTACTATCACTGAATATAATTTTATATTTGGTAAAAACCACCTCAATGAATGTGCTAAAAATATGTGTGTACTTAGATTACATAGAACGGAGTTTGGATATGGTAAATCCACTACTTGCATTATTTAATTTGAACACCGTATAGGACCAGTTATAATTAATAATTATAACTAGGTACTATATAAAATCAAAGGCCTAAAATAAATGACCCTTATGCAAATCCACTGTTTACGACAGATTTTCATACATTTTTCGTCAATAGATTCAGTAAGGTCGGTTCGAAACTACTTTTTATTAGTTACTTTTTACTTTTCAACACATAAATGTTGAGTATAGTTTAATTGTGAAAAACTTACATTTTAAAGAAGGGCTCTCACAAAATTCAAAAAACAAGGTGAACGATAAACGAATATATTTTTATTTTTATACGGTAGCCATTGGTTAAATAAAATAAAATAAAACCTCCCAAATAATCAATGGCGTAGCCATGAATTTTGTATGGGAGGGGGGATAACTCTTATAAAAAATGCAAATACAAATTCAATATCATTATGTCTTTTGTTTTACACTTTTTATTTTTGTACTAATCTTTATATAATTCTAAGGTCAACTCAGTCAATGGGGGGGGGCATAGCCCCCTTAGCCCCACTCCTGGCTACGCCACTGCAAATAACTATGTTAAAAATCTGTGCTTCTTAATTATATGAAGGGGTAAATATATGGAAATTTAATTTTTCACAAGTAACGCCGCACAGGGAACAGCTATAGGTAATTTAAAATAAACAATATTAATAACATACATTGTTCCATAAAAACGTTGGATACGTATAATTTGTGACTTTTTTTAAATATACAGGGAGACCTGAAAAAAAAATGATGTTATTTAAACGTTTGATAAAATTTGTTACAATTATATGATTATTAAATAATTTAAGAAATATATTACGTTCCAAATTAATTTAATCAAAAAATTATTGATATATTAAAAAATTCTAAAAAAAACTACTTGACTTCTATAAATGTTTTTTCCATCAAAATTATAATCAGATTCACAAATTGGCTGTTTAGAATTTATCCCAAAAAATTTAAATTTTGATTTAAATTTTTTATTTTCAGTATTAAAAAATAACATTTTTTTATATTATACGTGTAACTCAAGTGAATATAAATTATATATATATAAAAAAAAAAAATTTAAAAATATTGATTAGAACAAAAGTTATTTCATCTGTCAGGTCTTCCTGTTACACCCTCTATAATATACTAGCCGACCCCGTGTACTTTGTTGCCCATTAAATTGCCAACTCTATACGACTCTAACTTTGATAATTGAAAGCCTCAAAATATCATTGTTTAGGCTCTACGTTGATGATCAGCCAGTGAGTCAATCTGCGGGACATGTTTGATTATATTATATTATTATAATTTATAGCCATCCCGCCCGCCGTGAGACTAGCTTGTGGTCATGCGAGTAGTATATTATCAGTTGGCAATCTACCTAATAATTTAACTCTAAAATATCAAGGTTATACCAAGTTTATCGTTTTTACTTAATACAACAGATGAAAAACACTAAGTTGTGAAATCGAGAAAATAAATTTCAGTGCATGTTTAATATACAATATTATATATGCATGCTTAAAACACTACAATGGACATAAATATTAAAAAAAAAAAATACACTTGAGAACTTCTCTTACTTCGAAATAACAAGCGCTTTAATATAAAAAATTATGTGTAGGTATTAAACAATTAAAATAAATAATAAGAAAAAAGACGTGCTAGTAGTAATAGATAATTGTACATCTATTATACTGGACAACTAATTGGACATTATACGGGGCGGACAGCTTTATACGTTTATTCGTATTGTGCATGTTAGCTGTAATTACGGTATTGACATTTCTGTGAATTGGACCTTATTATTGTATATTTCGGATTGTAAGACATTATACTGTCAGATGGACGATTTCAAATTAGATTTTTCTTCAATAGTCCAGCCAAACTGATTTTAAGTGACTAATTAAATTATAAACGTCAATCAGATTAGTTGAAAAAAACAATTATTTCCAAAATCTGTTGTTATTGCAACTATATACGGCCAACGATATTTTAAACTAAAATAAGCTGCTAAAGCTGCGCATAGACCGGAGTTGTCAGACTCATGTTTCAGTTCGTTTGTTCGCTCTCTTGTTTAAATTACTTTAAAATTCTACAACAGTTGTCAATTGGATTTACAGTCAGAGAAACTAATATTGAACAGATATAAATAATATCTTAATTTTATTTAAGTATTACCTAGATTCAGTTTCCGACTTCATAACGTATGCCATTACATTTTTGAGCTTTTTATCTACGTTTAGTCTCACATGTTGTCATGGATAATCAAAATAACAACAATTTGTATATCAATAAAGTTTCAAAATTTTTCACATGTGAAATGGGAACTTTTATACAAGAGGTTATTATAATTATAGAGTTTAACTATTAAGATATCTAAAAAGTAAAAACTCCCACTAAACCTAAAACTTAGGGGTGTCAGGGGTGTTAAAGATGTGGATAACTAATCGATAAAATAGTATAATACTCACACGCGCATAAGTATACATTAAGCATAATTATATCTTTTACTTATACAATTTTTAATCAAATTTTCTTATCTTCCGTAGGTATTTGCTTTACAAATTAATTGGATACATTTTTCATGTATCTCAAATTATAATTTTATTTGAAAAATATATTTTAATAGCATAATAAAATTATGATAACACGGCGTTATGAATAGGCTATTTATTTACACAACTGTCTATGGACCCATTGTTCGGGTATATTAAAGAGTGTGGTCAATAAAGACGACAGCCGATTCTAGAAAAACATTTAAAACTGTTTAAAAATCAAACTATGGTCTGAAGTTTTGGGATTGCCAATTTTTAACATTTGATAAGTATAACAAACTTGGTACATTAAAACGTCGATACATTGACAAAAGCATTCAAATAATTTTAAAATGCTAATATTTATACACTCAAAAAGAAGGTATAAACCTATAGTACGTATTTTCCACAACTGTATGTACAAAGACAAGTTAGTTTTCAAAGAATTATAATAATTAAAAATAATTAAAGAATTATTAAATAAAAATAGTAATACCTACAATAATGACAAAAATCGTGGAAATTATATGATTAAGAAGTATACTCTTCAGGAAATTCCTTAAAAAATATTTTGAAAAAACTTATAACGTTCTAAATACATTTTATCAAAAAAATATTGATATTTAAAAAAATTCTAAAAAATAAACTACTTGACTTAGATAAATGTTTTTACCATAAAAATTGTTCATAATATAGTCAGATTTACAAATTTATTATTTTTATTTTTTCCAAAAATTTAAATCGAATATAAAA